TCATCATTACATAGGTTACGATTAAATAACATTAGGACTGAATATTGAATAATATATCATTTACACTACAAGATTGCAATGTTCGCATGTGCAGCATTCCAAAGGATGTAAAGTAAGGTCTTTGAGTATTATCTATGGGACACATTTCATATTTTATCCTGGTGTAATGTATATGTATTTTTGTGTTGATGTAGCATTTAATATCTCATATTATCTTATCCTTCTTGTCCTCTCACCTGTCCCTTTCTTACCTGTGAAAACTCGCTAAAGATAAACTTTAACCTTTCCTTTGTTGGTTGCAACAGGGTAGATCTCTTGAACAACAAACCTGGGACATTAAACACAAAAGCATAGTATCAAATAAAAAATACAAGTTAATATCTTTCCTATACATTGACTTCACAGGTAACTTATCCCTAGTGTTGTATGAAATGGCTATCAGTGATGTGGATGCCATTGATCAACAGGTTGATAGCAAAAGATAGAAATCCCCCATTAAGTCTACATTGAGGAGAAAAGCTATTCAAGGTCAAACCTTCAACCAAATGTACTTTTGCACTTACCCAGGTCTCTGTAGTGTCCAATAGTGGATCTCTGTTCAGGGCAAGTTGAGTGGTGAAAGCTTTGAATGATGGTTTTATTCTTCCAGGCCAGGGTGGAGATGTACTCCACAACAGATCGAGTGATTTCCTTGGACACCATGCTGAAAATACTGATCTCCAGCACTGACAAAAACACACAATTTCATCACATGCATTTGAAATATTGAAATTGTCATTAAAATGTTTGTTTCACTTAAAAATCATTTTTTACTTTACTATCTTTTAATAAGGTTTCCTAAAAGTAGTGTTCAAATTGAAGAAATCTGCATATATTTTGACATGCCAAAAACGGGTTGGTACATACTGTGTACACTGCATGTGATTTACTGATGTAACTGTGTACATTTACTCACGTACTGTACTTAAGTACTTTACTTGAGTATTTCAATGTTTTACTACTTTTCAGAGGTAAAAAGTATACGTTTACTACATGTATTTAATGCATTTAGTTACCTTGCCGATAGGGATTAATGATGTGAAATAATAATCAAAACTTAAATAAGACTTTAGTTACACTTGGGGTAACATTCACAAGCTACTCCAGGTGTAGCTTAGCTACCCTGCAGTATATAATACAAGTAATATTCAAACTTTTACTTTTCCTACACTCTGGTACTTCTACTTTTACAAAAGTCCCACCTCTCATGTGCTTTGTAAGCCATAATACTCTGAGGTTAAGTTAACTAGTTGCACCTACCAGACATTTTATCCAGGATCATGTGGTACACCTCTGACGGGAGCCTGTGGAAGAAGCAGCCGACGGTGAGGCACTGGCTGCGGGTCACGATGGTCCTGGTGGGCCGCGGCCGGTGAATATTCCTCTTTCGTGATTTGTGGGTCGATGTGTACTTCCCAACATTTCTGGAGGCTGTCCTCACCATTGCCACCACCCCTTGATTTACTGTACAAAACGAGATAAGGCTTAATTTCACTGGAATGTCAAAGTAAATCTCAAACTGCTAGCCTCAAGTAAGCTAAAAGAAAATGGTAAATTACTATAGCTAGCTAACTTAGGTAGCTTAAATGCTAATCTTAACTCCCGAAAAATGTAAAATACTAGTATATTTTCGATTTTAATAACCTTCAGGTTCATGTATTCACCGATATACATGTATATTATAGAAATACAAGCTAACGAGAGAACCCAAAACCCTGAATTCTTACCAGAAGTATAACTTATTAATGTGAATAGGCAGCAGATGACATATATGAAGTGAGACAGCTGTGTGCCACATTAGCTTTCTTTGATGGCAACGGCGCGAAATATAATCACTTTTCTGACTCGGAAGTGACTTTTGCGGTAAGAAAACAATAAACAATTTCAGTGAAGTTTGATTAAAATACACAAGTTAGTTAAGGTAAAGTATTCAGAATTTAATGGTAAAGCGGAAGTATTAGCAGACGCTATTATTTACTTAAGTGAAGTATACAAAATGACTGATGAAAATATAATGAAAGTAATGTCTAACTTCAGCTGGTGATGTTGTACGCTAAAAAGCATTTTCTCTGAAATGTAATACTCTTCCATAATAATCTCTGTTAAATATAAGTATACTAGTAGCCTATAGGAGGCTATAGTTATTTGACATCCTATCTTTTTTCATAAAATAGCTTTTTAACTGATGATTTTGTTTAGAATATCTTGTCCCCATAAAGTTATCAAATCAAATCCAGCAATAACATACAGCTCTATTAGTTAGACTTTAATGTATTTTCCTCTGAAATGTAGTACAGTCTGCTTTATAAACTGTATTATATTTTAATAATAGTACAGCATAGTTACAGTAAATTCTAGCCTTTAAAATATCCGATTGTAATCCAGCATTGCTCTATTTGGTTGATATTCCCCGCAGTGATCTAAAAGTCTCTTTTCAAACTCCAGACAATTATTATGTTTTGCATTTTAGTGATGGCTGTCAATGATCTGACACTCTTTGTCTGTGCTAATAGTTCATGAAGTCCATGACCTGACGTAACTCCCATTAACACTCCTCCCACCCTCCACCTGAGCAGAGATCAGCCAGAACACCTGTGTGAGAGTGCAGCCATTTCAGATGTGCTACTATATTTTTGGAATGTTGTGTATATTTGCTATTATATCATTGAAAATGAATATGCAGTACACAAATGTGTGAAGCTTTTCAGATCCTGAAAAAAATGAAGGTCTGTGCTTCACACACCACCGTGGCTGTGTTACCCTCCAGCACCATGCACAACAGAGCAGCTACTGTTTGCTCAGCTGCTAATCATGGGATTATTCTGTTTAACTAAGACTATTATGGGTTCTTCTTTCAAATGGCGTCTCCCACAGGGAGACTTCGAAGAGGATCATCCCCTCCGCAGCTCTGACAGAGACCTGAGTTCTACTCAAGGGTCCCAGGGGAAGGGCCGGGAAAATGCTCCTGTATACCAACAGGATGTCACGCTAGGTTACACTGAGGGCACAGAGGGAAATGAGAGACGAGAAATGCAAAGGAAGAGGATGGACCTTTGAACCTTTGAAATGACCTCACCTGGCTTGCAGAAGAGTATGTACCACACACAAACACCTACAGTACAACTTCACTATGAAGTATATTTGGCTAAAATCATCTGTTTGAATGCCTGCCGATTGAACCCTAATTGTAGTTCATTTATTCATGTTCTTCTACAAATAGCTTATAATGTGCTAAGCAGATTCATTTATTGATCTTTTCATTCTTTCTTTTGATTTGGTCCGTTATCCATTCACCAAATGTTGTGTTACAGAGAGCAACATAATTGAAAGAAACAGCACCAGCAGGGAGGACAATATCTCTTCTGTCTGTCTCTGCTTCTGCAACTCTGCTCTGCCTCCAGGTCCACAGGTTTATCTGTCCAGAGCCACAAGCCATCACTAAGACTTTCTCTCATGTCATCTCTGACACGATGATCCTAGAGCTGACAGGGATAACGCTGATGATGATATTTAACACTGACCAGTCACATATCTGACAATCCTGCAGCACAAACACATATTCAGTGTGTGTTGAGGAGGCGGCAGCAGAGACAGAAGGAGCTGCTCGGTGTGGAATCAATGCCAATTGCCTTATTTATCTGGAAGTGTGCCTTCTGGACACCTGTGACCATGGCTCTGTAGTCCTCGTTGGACCTTTGTGAGTGAGTATTCAAATGTGTTACTAAAAATATAGAAGTAAAAGGTTAAGCAGCATTCAATGAACAGTAGTTCAAGTGTTGAAATTGCAATTGGAAAGTGTTAAAAAAGTTTCAGAATCATAAATCCTTTATTCCTCCAACATAGCATAGAGATTGAAATTGTTACAAGACTGTTAAAGGTACAGTGTATATAAAAAGTAAAAATAATGATGACTAACATATAGAGTAAAGATGCACACCGTCATAAAATGAATAAATGAAGTTGACATCTACAGTATGGTAAGTGTGAACATATAACATTACATTGCATTTAGCTGATGCTTTTTTCCAAAGCGACTTACAATAAGTGCATTCGACCAAGAAGATACAAACTAGAAGAAAACAGAATCATATAAGTAACATATAACATTTGTCGAGTAGCAGCCAGTATAAACATCAGTTTCAAGCTGCCAATAAGTGTTTATTGCACATATATATTATTATTATTACATTGGCTTGGGGCAGGCTAATTTAGTGCAATCTAATGTGAATCAAGATGCTTTTCACAGCCTTGCCTTTGTTTCTATTGCTCACTTTGTATGCCTTCAGTGTAGTCAATCATTAAACACAATGAAGCTTGTATCTTTGATCAATTAAGAGATCCCAACAGTGCCAGGTCTGACACTGAACAGTAATGGAGCTTTATAAACATCCTTTGTTATCTGAGGAAGTCAAAACAATGGGTCTTTATGAGCATGGTGTGCTTTCCTTGCTTTTAAAATTCAAAGTTGCTCTGTTTCACTCCGCTTGTGGGAACAACAAGCTATTTGTATTTAAGTGAGTATTGTAAAATGTTTTCATTTATGGTTGCTTGATTATTATTTTTAAAACTTGTGTTGTCATTGATAGGAAATAGAAGCAGTTTCTTCAAGACACAGAGAAGGAACAAAGGTCAATGCTTAACTTCAAATGTGTTTGTTGCTGCACTTCCTGTTCAGTTGTGAAATGTTTAAAGTCACGTGTTGATTTATAAAAATAGATTTCCAGGTGATCTCAGGGCAGAGATTAAATTAGACATAATAATAAGTTATCACAACATTTGTCACTACTATTGTCACTATCTGGGGCCCAGCAGCTAGGAGTACTCTGTCATCATGTCCCTCTCAAAATGCCCTGCAGAGCTGTGAAAAGTGTTCAAAGTTAGTGGTTTATAACAGTACTTTCAGCTTGGGTGGTTTCTGTAAATGTTTAATTTCCTGTCCCTCCCTCTCCGTGCGTCTCCTTTCCTGAGGGGTAGTGTGGAGCTTAACAAATAGACGGCTGTGGTTTCGCCCTCCAGAGAAGAGCGGTAAACAGGTGAAGCTGAACACTGCTCTCATTAGTTACAGATGCAGTCACCTGCCACTCACCAGAGACAGATGCCAGAAAGTTTCCACAGCTTTTTCTGCCCACACTCCGGAGACACTTGAGGAATGGCTCAGACTCTGTGACTGGATGCAAGCTTGGGGAATTTACTGTACTGCTGGGGGCCGTGCAGATAACAGCCGGAACCCAGTCTCATCTTCAGCCTGAGGGGACTGGGGTTTTTATGTGGCGGTATGTTTTGTCTGTGTGTGGAATTAAGGGCTGGGATTTGGACTGGTATTGCAATTGCGCTATGATTCCCGATATTAAAGGGACTGAAACACTATTCATATTCTTGTTTTAATCTATATTTAATCATCATGGTAGGATTTATTTCTGTGCCAAACAAGGAATTGTATTAAGTCTGTAGAAAACTTCTTTGCAGCTTAATAATTATATCTTCAAATAGTTTTGCCTTTACCAAATGTTGCCCTTGCGATTTGGATATTCCCTTAGTCCATATTTCAACAACATTTAGATGTACTGTTCTGCCCTAGATGACTTTCTGCCCTTTTTACTTATGTACCCTGTTGATCTAATGTACGTTTTTGAGCCTATTCAGAGGCCTATGTATTCTGAGACCTCCAAGTGCTCTTAATTCTCTCCTGTGTGTACGCGCTTATTAACAGGTTTTTCAAACTTTGTACCTTGCAGATTGTCCGAGCGAGCGAATCATGGCGAGCATGGCGGTTCAGCTCCTCGGCTTCTTCCTGGGGCTGTTGGGTTTGGTAGGAACTGTTGTCGCAACGGTGCTCCCCCACTGGCGCAGCACGGCCTACGTGGGCTCCAACATCATCACAGCCACCGCCTACATGAAAGGCTTGTGGATGGAGTGTGTGTGGCACAGTACGGGCATTTACCAGTGTCAGGTGTACATATCTCTACTGGCACTGCCTCAAGACCTGCAGGTATTACACAGACATACTTTAGGGAACGTTTTGGTTTATAACAACAATTATAACATATTTGAAAGCACTTGTATTTAATGTAAGTACCATAATACTACATATATATATTACATAACAACCCTACTAAAATGTGCAATTCAACATCATATGTTATACTAATACACCACTGTATATATTGGAATATACTGTAAATGTAGTATTTATTGCAAATTCTTACTTGAACTACTTGTGTAAATAAATATAATTGTTTTATTGTATTATTGTTTAACCTTTTCTGTTTTCGTCTTAAAATGGAGCAACTGTCACAAAACCTTATTTTCTCTGGGATAAATAAAGTATTCTTATTCTGATTACAAGATGGTAATAAGTTATTACTGCAAGTGGCCATTGTTTGCTTACGTAAAGTGAAATAAATATCATTATTCTATGCAAGAACAAAACCCAAAAAGCTGACTAACTTGTGTAACAAATCAGTACACCAATTTGACAACACTTGTTGATGAACTGAATAATTTTGCATTTCATTTATATAATGTTTGCCCAAAAAACTCTTTCTCAAGTCTCAATTGACTCAAAATATAGATAATACCTGAAACCATTTATTCTCTACCAGTAGCTGTAGATAAAATTGCCAGTTTCATAATTGATTAATAGTTGCGGAACATTCTCGAATGTCAGCCAATCAAATTTGAGGATTTGAAGCTTTCGCAGTTTCTTTGGACACATTTTATTTACAAAATGATAATCAAGACAAATATAAATATAAAGGCTTTTATTGATTATGTAGTTTCAGTCCTAATGAAAGGCTCATTTGCTAATTAATTGCCCAGAAGGATAGATGGATGATCTGATATGATATGACATATTTAATCCCAATGTTAAAGTATTGTCTCTCTCCCCACCAGGCTGCCCGGGCGCTCATGGTGCTCTCCTGCATCACCTCAGTGCTGGCCTCTCTGGTGTCTGTGATGGGGATGAAGTGCACCCGCTTCGCCCGCCACTCAGTGATCAAGTCCCCCCTGGTGCTGAGTGGGGGGGTTTGTTTCATCTGTGCCGGCCTGCTCTGCCTGATCACCGTGTCCTGGACCACCAACGATGTCATCTTGGACTTCTACGACCCCTTCATCCCCAGTGGGATGAAGTATGAGATTGGCCTGGCCGTGTACCTGGGCTTCGCCTCGGCCTTCCTCAGCCTGAGCGGGGGGATGGTGCTCTGCTGGAGCAGCAGCCCTGACAGGTCACAGAGACCCCCCCGTATGCAGAGGAGCCTTCCATTATCAGCTCCCCCCCCCTTCAACCCAATCTATCCTCCTGCTCCTCCCTACAAGCCCCCCGAGGCCCTGAGGGACAATCGTGCTCCTTCATTTTGCTCCGCCTCCAGCAGTGGCTATAGGCTCCATGACTATGTCTAAGACTGAAATAATAACACGATAACTGCGGAGACTGTAAAAAACACTGTAAAGACCAACGAGTCAACAGAACACTTATTTTAACAAGTATGTTATCCTCTCGTAAAACGAAGAAGGACCAGCATTTACATCACCATTTCTGATTCTGAAAGGATACAACCGATTCAAAAGAACTGCTCAGGCTTTCCTCTGACCTAAACCTGATCTGAGAGGCTAACTGAACTCACATTGTGTCAGCAAACTGAGGGCGGACCTGTTGACCTCCTGCAATCCACCTAAAGGACCAGAAGGTGGCAACATTTTACTGCAAATGGCAGGAGACGAGCAACAAACGTTAAAGGATCAACTGTTTTTCCTTTCTGTATCCTGATTTGGAGTTTACTTTTTTCTAGGATCCAATTTAAAACTTGTACTTATTTTAAAGGAATCTGCAGGATTCAATATTGTCATGCCAAAGAAAACAAAAATAAACAGATTACAGATTCTAAGGATTTGAACATATATGAATGTGTTTTTATTATTTTTACTATCATTTTTCAAAGCAGATGTTGTATTCCACAGCTGAAATTAAGCTGGTTACTAGGATACTGTAAGCAGGGTCATTGTTGCCAGGATGGGTTCCACCTGTGCTTTTCATGCTGCCATACAGGTGCTGGGATAGAGACCTACAATGGGTGACATATTGAGACTTTACGCCATTAAATCAATTATTGATTGTTTATCAGGAAACTCTTCTGCAGGTATTAACACCCCCCCTCCCTATGAGCCCACTGTGCTCTGATTGGTCAGCTCGCCCACTCTGTTCTGATGAGTCCACCACCGTTACAGCGGAAGCTGCGGAACATCAGTGATTATGTGTTACAATGGCGGTTGTTAGCAACCAGAAAATGACACCAGTAATGACAAACAGATGAGAATGCTGCGTGGGGTCTGGGTGCCGTGTTGGTGGGACGTTGCGGGGCTTGCTTCTCCGCCCTTTGAGGCTCGAGGAGCGGACAGTGTGAGCTGGATTACTGGTGTCGTTTCCTGGTTGCTGCGTGGGGTCTGCGAGACAGCGAGACACCATGGAACTCAGCCTGAGCACACAGCCAGGCTGTTTGCCACACAGTTCACCACACAATCACAGCCTGAGAAAAGATAAGGGTGTGTGTGTGTGTGCGTGTGTGTGTGTGTGTGTGTGTGTGTGTGTGTGTGTGTGTGTGTGTGTGTGTGTGTGTGTGTGTGTGTGTGTGTGTGTGTGTGTGTGTGTGTGTGTGTGTGTGTGTGTGTGTGTGTGTGTGTGTGTGTGTGTGTGTGTGTGTGTGTGTGTGTGTGAGGAGCTCCACGGATTGGTCCATTTGGTTGTTGTTATGTCACTGTGACCATGAGAAAAAAATGGAAAAAGAGAAATCTCCAACGAGGCGTTCTGTGGCAGCATAGACATGTATTTTCTGTGTTAGAGTTTTATTCGCAACAGGGTGCACTTTGAGGGTTTGTGACTCTGCAGACCGTTTACATGCATACAAAGCTACATAACACACAAGGGGAAGGGTAATAACCAGAAAAGCATGACATGGGACCTTTAAATATTCAGCCAACGTTTTTTCCATCTGTGCTAGGTTGAAGAATATATTTTGCAAAGCTTAAAGAAGCCACTGGATGGCGACAAAGATCTTTTGATAAGGCAGCTTAAAGCCTTTAGTTGTAACTGCTTTGCATGAATCTAAACCACACCATTGGTATACTGTATTGTTGAGGCTGTAATCTGGATATTAACATTTTTTTATAAATGCCTCTAACATGCAGCCTTAGTCCTTAAAGTGTAAAATATAAGTATCATTTGTGGAGGCCGGATTTAGCTGTGATGCTTTTCTAGGCTGTTTGCTTATAACTACCTGTGGTACTGTGGATGTGTTTTTGTTATAAAACGTTCCAATTAGAGCTGCCCTCTGTCTGGCAGCCCGTCAGCCATACAGACACTCAATTAGAGGACATGTCGCATTTCAAGCAAGTCACTTATTTTATTTCCAGCAGTCCAACCAGTGAGCATAAACATCTTTACGGAGCTCATTTATATTGCCTAAACAATGGATCTTATTTGGTTTTCAGGAAAATAAGTAAAATGCTTGTTTAACTGAAATATAACCGAATGCAGCTTTTCTAAAATATATTGAATTCCTTTTTGAAAAATATATGAAGAAATATCACATCAAGGCAAATATTGAAGTTAAAGGAATAATGACACACAAAAGGCTTCACACCAAAGAAAATAAAAAACTCTAATTGGTGTTTTAAATATTTCTGCTGTGAGCTCAGGGTTTCCAAATGCAGCACCATGGACAGCTTTCTGGAAGCAACTCCCATAATACAATATTTACTGTCAGACAGGGATAATAGATATATTTGAGATCCTTTATTAATTGTCCCAGTTATGGTTTGAAGGCAGGCTTTAAGAGGTAACAACCATTATGCATATATTGGCCAACATAAATGTGTAGCATCTAAAGAGGATATTGTCACTTACAGTACAAGATACTAGTAACACAAGTTTGTTCCTTGATTACTTTAATCAGCTTTATATATACACCCTGATTTTATGGATATAAGACTGGATTTAGTGACATGTGTAACATAATTGAACAAAATAATGCCCTGGGAGTCGCCATTGCTCCTTCTTTGTACTCCTGTCTATTTACATAAAGTAGATTTGGACGTTTTGATATTCAAATGAAAAAGCTTGTGAGTGGAGTGATATTCTTTGGATAAAAAAGCGTCAAAGCTGCATGCGTAAAGTGGGTGATAAAATAAAAAAGTCATCCTACACAGGGATTACACCCTCAACATATACCACATACAGCCAGCGTCTGCATACAAATCTCGATGCTGTAATCGTGGAGCAAGATCATCAATCAGGGCTGGGCAGAGTAAAGGTTTCATTTATTGGCAATGTGATATTATTATATTGGAAAGCTTTTCCGAACGGGCTGTGCGTCATGCCACTCTCTATTAGGTGCTATTTTCGTCCTGCCCTGGAAGACATTCATCCACCATCTACTCAACCTGACAGCACCCAATAAACCCACCACTCACATTCATCTCCACCCACCTCCACCCTCTCCCTCGCTATTTCTCTCTCCCTCTCTCTCCCACTCCGACGAGCACTGGTGACTTAAAAAACAACATAGGAGAATTGGGTTTGGTCGTCCGACTGGATTACTTTGTGGTAACAGTTTTCCAACGAAATCGTCTTTAACACTTTTTTAAATCTTATTTTTGAGGCCCTGCTCCTGTAATTGGTTTCTCCTAAAGTTAAGGTAAGATCATTTCTGTTTCCAATATTTTTTTTCTATGTCTTGTATGTTGGCTGATTGTTACTGCATTTGACTAGTGACACACGTTCATTTAAAGAGAGATCAATAATGCAATACTGGCCTCCTGGATCCCTGGTGTCAGCGCAACGGGGAGCTGAAACCACAGGTTTGATTCTAGTGATGCAGCACATCGGACACAAAACCCTTATGCGTTTGTTTTACGTATCCTATCGTTAAGGCTGCGCAGTTTTGTTTCTGTGTGTAACGTTTGGGAAGCATTATTGAACTTTTACGCACGAAACAAAACCATATCTGTCCAGTTTTTCAATCATCTTAATACAGAATAGCCTTAAAATATTTTTAAGAATTTATTGAAATGCACGAAATTGTGTTAGTAACCTGGCACAGTAAATGGAGTACGCCATGTCTGTAATTAAAGAGGGAGCAAGGCGTGCGTAAAACGTCTTCAACTGTCTGATGTCGATTATAATACAAATATTTGGTAGTTTTGTATTTTTCTGATGACACATGATGGAGTGCCGGTTGTTCTTCTCAATCTGCTTTGTGCGTCAGTTGAACAAGGTAAGGTCACTATAATTTTAGATATTATATTTTATGATCACAGTATTTAACCTAGAACATAGTAACAAATGTGTTCTAATAATGTAATTGGCTGCTGTGCTTATTTTTGGTTAGACCTATTGGATGCAGGGACTCGAAGAGCCTAATTTGATGGAGGTTTAGTAACAAAAACTTGAAAAATGTATGCGTTTTGATTCAACCTTAGAAATATAGTATGTAAATTGGAATTAGAATTTTCTCTCGTTTTCACCTGATTTAACTGGGGAAAAAACCTCCACAATAAGTTACATTTATGAACGTCTATGTTACTTTGGTGCACATCTGCAGTGAGGGTGAAGTAGATCGGTGCGCAAAAAACATGAAACTGAGTTTAACGTGAAGTAGTGACCCACCTTCAAATTAGTACAATTAAATCATGTTTCCTCAAATGCAGTGTTTGGATAGTAGTGTTTAGAAGTTAAACATAAATGTAAGAGTTCCTTTTTCAAATGGAATAGTCATCTCCACCTGCGCACGGAATCACTGCAGACTGTATGATCTATTAGTGTGATTTAACATGTGTTTATGTCTTCTTTTCATTTCAAAGTTATCTCCATGAGATTCCAGTCCTCCGCGCGCAGAAGCACCTGATCTCGGCGGGAGGAAGTGTACGAAAGAAAGATGGCCTTCCACGCCGAGGGTCTCGTGGCCATCGTGATCTTCTATCTAATGATTCTGTTCGTGGGGATCTGGGCCGCGTGGAAGAACAAGAGCTCCGGTGGAGCCGAGGGTGGAGACCGCAGCGAGAGGATCATGGTCGGGGGAAGGGACATCGGATTGTTCGTCGGTGGATTCACAATGACTGGTGAGTTGGTTAATAACTACGGGAAGCATTTTTATATTAAGTGTTCAACATGAAAATGTGGCTCATGCTGTTACACTTAGACGTTACATGAAGTCAGAGAAAGACGATGAATTTCACCAACTTCGTCTTTTACGCACGGACAGCACTGCAGCCACACATGTGATTTATTGCCACTACTTTCAGCATTACATTTATTAGATTGCTAAACTCTTACAGATGACGCGACTAACGACTGAAACATTTTAGTTTTGTGTTGTGAGTCCAAATGTCACCTAGGGAGGTCTCGGGTCCTTTAGATTGACATCCAAATAAACCTGTTTTCCAAAAAACAAATGGATTCAGTCAGTCTGATATATGCCAAATTATAATCTCAACTGCAAGCTAAATTTCCTTTTAATCCCCATCCTTCCATACCAGACAATCGCATCCTGAATGATTTTTTTTTTGTTAGAATCATTTTATGGAACATACAATAAAGTACTCAAATGTTTTTCTCTCTCTCTTGGTTTCAGCCACTTGGGTAGGTGGGGGCTACATCAATGGGACAGCAGAGTATGTCTACCTGCCAGGCTTCGGACTGGCATGGGCACAGGCACCCTTTGGTTACGCTCTCAGCCTCGTAGTAGGTAAGAAACAATGTCTACTTGTAAGACCTTTCTTTAAAAAATAATAATATATATCTATATATATAATTAACTTTTCTACTTTCAAGGTAGCCATTGATTTTGGCC